ATCTTCAACTAAACATTCCGGAATTTGAGAGTACCCAAAAGAGAATCTGTGAAAAAGAACCAACACAACTTTATGCTGATAAACCCAAGTGGTCTCTCAGGATACTGATACAAAAAAATAAGAATTTCCGGTTGATATCGCCTTACATATACCAGTCACCAGTCAACAGTCTACTAGCCATCAGGCCCCTGTCAGGTCTTCAGAACCTCTAAAAAGAATGTCTATGACATGCAAAAAAAGAAAGATTTATTTCAACGTCCTATATATTCAGGTCAATGAACATTCCTGGTTGATGAATTGGTTTTGTTTTTTTTCTTTATTTTCTTTTTAAGAGATGGGGTCTAGCTATGTTGCCTAAGCTGGTCTCAAACTCCTGGGCTCAAGTAATCCATCTGTCTCAGCCTCCCAAGGAGCTGGGACTATAGTCATATACCACCATGTCCAGCTCAGGTTTTTTTTGTTTTTGTTTTTGTTTTTATGACAGCTTTACTAAGATATAATTTACGTACCATAAAATCACTGTAAAGTGTGCAATCTGATCATTCTTCATATACTCCCAAAGCTATGCAACCATCACCGCTATCTAATTTTACAACATTTTTGTTACTCCAAAAAGAAATTCCACACTTAAGAAGTAACTTCTGATTTCTCCAGCCTTTGGTGCCCACTAATTTACTTTCTGTCTATGAATTAGCCTATTCTGGACATGTCAGATAAATGGAATCATATACTAAATGACCTTTTGTCATGAGCTTCTCTCACTTAGCACAGTGTTTTTTCAAGGTTCATCATGTTGTACTATGAATCAGTATTTCATTACTTTTTGTGGTGAAATAATAATCTATTTTCATATACCAAATTTGTTTATCCATTCATCAGTTGATGGACATTTGAGTTGTATTTGTAGGACTTTTGACCTGCAAATACCTTAGTCATCTAATCTGATCTTTCTTTCTTTTTTTTTTTTTTTTTTTTAAGAAGGAGTTTCACTCTCGCTACCCAGGCTGGAGTGCAATGGCACAATCTCGGCTCACCGCAACCTCCGCCTCCTGGGTTCAGGCAATTCTCCTGCCTCAGCCTCCTGAGTAGCTGGGATTACAGGCACGTGCCACCATGCCCAGATAATTTTTTGTATTTTTAGTAGAGACAGGGTTTCACCATGTTGACCAGGATGGTCTCGATCTCTTAACCTCGTGATCCACCCGTCTGGGCCGCCCTAAGTGCTGGGATTAGATGTGTGAGCCACCGTGCCCGGCCTGATCTTTGATTTTATGGATAAAAAATTGAGATCCAGAGAGAAAATGGAAACTGCCTCTGGCTACACAGACTTAAAAGACTGTCGATGGACATCTGAAATGCCTTCTTTTCCCCGAGCTCACCCCATTCCAATAAAAGAAGAAAATCCTTACTGTGTTTGTTCCTAGCAGTAAGACTCAAGATAGGATAGGTGAGGTGGGAAGGAAAAGAAAATAATAGGATTAGGCACAATCTTGTTGAACCAAAGAACCTTATGAAAAGGCCAACAGTTTTAAACCTTCAAAAACACAGGAAAAAAAAGAGAGATGAGCACAATGCAGACATAAAAATGTTATTTTTAATTAGAGAAGAAAAGAAACATGAAAGTGTGAGAAAATCTGAAAATTACTCTGAAATATCCAGTGATCCATTTGAAAATCTTTTTATTCTCAGACCCGGAAGAAAAATACACTATTTAAAGATCGCAAAATGAGGAAACCAAAGTCAAAACACAAACTGAGAAGAAATGAGCACATTAAAAGGAAGTACATCACTCTACTTTTTGCAGGCCAAAAATTACAGTGAGGGCAACTGGAAAATACCCTCTTGAGATCTGATCTTGATGACTTCAATCAGAGATGAAATCCATCTAAAGAAAGTATTTTATAATTTAGGAGGCTCTGCTCTGTATCTAAATTGTCTATGAGAATGTGGGAAATTCAGTCTGAATGAATCCTATATACAGTCTCCATTTCACAATCCTCACTTCCTACCACCGTTTATGAGCTGGGGGAAGTCTGTCTGAGGCACCAGGCCTGCTACTTGACTAAATGGCAAAACTTCTAAACCAGTTAAAAAAAAAAAAGTCACTTTCTGATACCTGGCTTATCTAAGGATGAGAGTTAATTTATAAATCCCCTAATGTATATAGTTAACTTTTAGAAGAAAAAAAAGTTAAAACGTTTTTACCAACTCCACCAGAGTTCTTTCTACCAAATTCTCTTGCCGCCACAAAAAAGGAGTTAACCTAACACTAGCAAAATGGCTAGCAAATAGTAAATGCTCCATAAATATTTGATTAGTGAAACTAAAGATAATATCAGATGTTTTCAAAAGCATCCTACTATTCCAAGGAAGTGTCTTAGTTTTTTTATCTTACTACTAAAGAACATAAGTCAGTATTCTTATACCCAAGTCTTTAGCTTAGTCAAACAACAGCAAGATGTGTAAATGGCAAAAGACAAAAGAATCTAACAAGGAGAAAGCTAAAAGAGAATCAAGAATACAACATTTCTGCTTTCACTGCTGCTGCTGCTAACACCCTCCAAACCCACCACTATATGCTTGGCTCAGAGTCCATCCCATCACCCAGTGATCCCACAGCAACCTCATGGCACTGCCATTAATGAAGACACACAAGGGTACCATTCACTGTGACAAGACAATGACATGCACATTGCTTTGCCTCCTGCCAGACTATGGGATGCAGAGAGGGCACAGACTAAGGACCTTGAAAAATCAGCTTCATGTGACATCATGATGGACATGTGTGACAAGTATGACCCACAGAGACACTGATTTGACCATTGCCAGATGTCTTTCACAGCGACCATGAGCTCCAGCAGCAACAGCAGACCCAGCTGAGCAGTGCAGACCCAGCTGGGCACACACTGCTCCAGACCCAGCTGGGCACACACTGCTCCAGACCCAGCTGGGCACAAGTTGCTGGCTCAGTTGCTGGTGCCTAATGAAGAGGACAATATTGTGGGCATCCTCTGTGACAAGATGTATGAGTACATCATGGAGGAGGTGGGCACAATAGATAATGGGACCTACCAGTGGAAGAAGGGAGAACTTTGACATGCACTAGCCACTAGCCTGAGTGCCTGCTCAACTTAATCCCACCTGGAACCAGCCCAACCAAGGTAGGGTTCAAGTGTGTAATGGATCTAACTCTTAGAGAAGAGTTTCTGCAGAGACTAAGCTTCTATCAGCACATCTGGCTGCCAGCCTGGGGTCTAAGGCCCTGGCCTGCAAAAGCAGACACCCTTGAAAGGGGCAACTCTACCATCTGGAATCTAACCTGTCCCTACCCCAGCCTTCATCTTTGTTATCTACACTGACCAGACTAGACAATAGTAGTACAGTGTGTGCCCAAGGAGACCCACTAATTCTAAAGCTGACTGCCCCTGCCCAAGCCATGGCAGGTTCTTCATGAGGAGGCCCTGGAACAGGTCAGTGAGATTCCTGGCTACATCTTGGTCCATACCAACAGCTTCATTTGTGGATGCCATATCCAAGAGGGTACCTTGAGCACAGCCTGTGCAAACTTGCCCTAGTGCCCAATACCTTTGCTTCCCACAAATCTCATAGTCCAATTAAATGTATTCCAACTTAAAAAAAAAAAAAAGGCAACATTTCTAGTAAGAAAGTACTCAGAAATTATGGGGATATGTCAAAAGGACAAAAAAGCCACTTGATAGAACTCCCAATGACAAAAAGCTGGAACAATTGAGCAGCCAAATAAATGATAACATTTGTTTTACAACCCACAGAGAAAAATGAATACCTAAAAATTCATACTGGCATTAGTAAATAATTAAATAAATTAAATAACTAAAGGGGAAGGAAGAGTGTTTCTTTATAGTAGAATTCAAATTAATAAATGGGGAGAAATAAGAAAATGAGAAAATGCACACTTATACAAGCACCAGAGGAGTAATAGTTATAGGCAAGAACCATCCATGGATGCTGAAATTAATGGACAAAAGTATGATGAGAAACCGGATATTTGCAAAGTCCAAAAGGATCATTCAGCAAAATACCATTCTTAACAAATTACAAGGAGAAAAATCAGTTAACTTTACAGTGATCACTTAACCAAGTTATCAAAGTTAACTTAGCAGTAAAAAGGCATATGGACATCATATATTCCCTGATCTGATGCACTGAGGATGGTACCACCACACATCTGTACTATACTTGGGAAAAAACATATTTCTCATTCTACTGAAAAGGGAACATTAGGCAAACCCATATGGATGCACATTTTACAAAATAAGTAGCCAGTGCTCTTTACAAGTGTCAAGGTCATGAGAGGCAAAGAAAAACTGAGGAACTGTCACTATTGGGGAGACTAAGAAGAAATGATGATTGAACCCTGGAACAAAAAGGGCACTAATGGGAAAACTGGAAAAATTCAAAGAAGACCTGTAGAGCAATTAACAACATTATAACAATGCTAATTTTCTATAGTGTTTTTGTAACTTTTTGTAAATCTAACTTTGTTTCAGGAAAAGAAAATCTGTTTTTTAATGTAACATTTCTAAGTGTGAGATCTTGCTGTTTCAATCCCATTGTGAGAAATGACCCATTTTGGCTAGCTATTATAATTTTCATATTAAGAGAGTTTACCAAATGATAATCAGATTCAGAATATGTTTGTTGCCAGACTGCGGCAAACATAGTAAGAAAACAAGCCAATGAATGAAAAACACTTCTAAAACTCTCACAACATGCTCTTCCCAAAGAGATAAACCAGAAAAAATACATGAACATTCTGGTCATAAAACAATGGCCCACAACACAAATGAAACATAAAATGTCAAGAACTGAATAAAACCTTCTGAATCAACATATGATGAGATGATGACTTGGTGGGTTTCTGTGGTGGCTCATTTTTATGAATCTGGTAAGGAGGGACTATCATTAGGTAAAGATTGAAGTGGTTCTGGGACATACACTGAATTCATACTGGTACATACCCAGATTTCAAGTCAGTTATCCTCAAACAGTTTGTAGCATCCAGTCCCACTTTTCCATTCCGGACCACACTAGATATGAAAGGGGAGAGCATTGGAGAAATTCGGTTCAAGGCCACTTCTGGGGACATTTTAACTTGACTTGTAAATCACCACTGAAAGCAGAAAAAGGAAAGAATGATGATCAGAGTTTACAAATGAACTAGACAACACGCTTCCTGAAAATTAAGCAGCACACAGGAGCTTCTCTTGCGTCAATAAATACTTCATTTCCCATCTCTAGAGCAGACTCTTCCAACGATCCTCCAGAAAAAACCACCTCACTGCTGCTCAGCTGCTCAGGATAGGGACTACTCCACTGCTTTTTAGGAACAGAAGGAACCCCTGAAATACAATTCCCTCTTCCTTCTCAAAGCTGATTTTCCACACTGCCACACTCTACTTAAAATGGTCCCACTCTGTCTCACAACTGGCTCATTCTACTTTATTTGAGTCCAAGGAGCCTTTGCTAACAACCCTCTGTCCCAACACAAAAACACACACATCACTGGGTTAGCAATCTCTCCCTGTGTGTCCCTACAAGGAGTAAAAGCTTAATGGATAACACCATATAAAACTCTACAGGCCAGGCATGGTAGCTCAATCCTGTAATCCCAGCACTTTGGGAGGCCAAGGCAGGCAGATCACCTGAGTTTGAGAGTTAAGTACCAGCCTGACCAACATGAAGAAACAGTCTCTATTTAAAAAAGGAAAAAAAAAAAAAAAAAAAAAAAGGCCGGCGCGGTGGCTCACGCCTGTAATCCCAGCACTTTGGGAGGCCGAGGCGGGTGGATCACGAGGTCAAGAAATCGAGACCATCCCGGTCAACTTGGTGAAACCCTGTCTCTACTAAAAATACAAAAAATTAGCTGGGCATGGTGGCGCGTGCCTGTTATCCCAGCTACTCAGGAGGCTGAGGCAGGAGAATTGCCTGAACCCAGGAGGCGGAGGTTGCAGTGAGCGGAGATCGCGCCATTACACTCCAGCCTGGGTAACAAGAGTGAAATTCCATCTCAAAAAAAAAAAAAAAAAAAAATCAGCCAGGTGTAGTTGTGCATGCCTATAATCCCAGCTACTCTGGAGGCTGAGGCAGGAGAATCACTTGAACCTGGGAGGCAGAGGTTGTGGTGAGCCAAGATCCTGCCACTGTACTCCAGCCTGGGCAACAAGAGTGAAACTCCATCTCAAAAAAGAAAAAAAAAAAAACAACAACTCTACAATAAGCTAACCTGCTTGCAGCTATTACTTACTAGAAATTATTTACTGATATACTTTTCTTAATAACCTTTCCATCCACAGTGCAGTCTGTTTATGTGATCCCTTTCCTGCAGGGACTATGTTTTGAACGCCTAGGGTTTAACAAAAATACCTGGCATATGCTAAACACTCAAAATTTATTAAACTTTTTTTAAATAAATAAATAAAGGGACAAAGGTTAGAAAAATATTTCAGTACGGAGAGAAGATAATGTGCCCCCCCAAAATTTGGTAGGGGAACAGATATAGCAAAAATCTACTTAATTAAATTATGAAAACATACACCTATGCAGCTATCAAGCAAGGCAGACTAATGTGGATCTTAAAGTATTTGACTTTAAGGCACTAAATCCTTACACTTAAAACCACAAAAAGTAGAACTGATACATCATATCTAAATTATCTGGAAACTCATGGGGCTGGGGGAGGGAGTATAGGAATTCTTCTTAATAGATTTCTAAATGAAAGCCTCTTCCTTCAGAGGAATAAGTCAATTCAAATGATTGTTTCCTTCCTCAGTTTTAAAGAATGCCACATCAAAAGAAAATTAATTTCCAGCAAGTTACCAGTAAATGATGTTCTGGTTCTAGTTTTCATACATTATACCACACAAAAACTTACAAGTCCCTGCTAAAATAAATGTTGAAAAGTGAACCTGTTTCAGTTTATATTTCAGACAGTAATAAGGGAAGGACTACAGTCATATTTCAAAAAATAAAAACACTTTGACCCTCTATAGTTACGACACCCAGAAGTTATCTTTGATATTAACACCTTTATACTCAAACTTCAGCTCCAAAATCCTTTCTGTAAAATATAAAACAAGCTCTTCTTCTTAACAGATGACCCCCAACTATTCTCTCATTCAAAGACTAAACATCAAACACTGTACCATCAATCATAAAAATCATGTACTTTTAAATCACTTTATGACTTATAAGGACCATCCATATACATTATTGCAGTTGATCTTCACAAGCCTGGGGTAGTAAAGAAAGTATTTTAATTCCCATTTTGCAGATGATATGGGTAATTATTATAATTTGATTGTGAAAAGTGTATTAATCCACATCATAATTTTGAAGCCTGTTTTTTCTATTCTCCAACATTTCCACCTTTATTTCTATGTCACAATTCTTGAAGGGATGCTTATCAAAATCATATGCTAAGCTCAAATATAACCATCTTTTAAAAAAGCAAAGGGGTCTCACCTATATTACAAAATTGTTCTTCTGTTTTTTTCCCACCGTACCTATTATTATTTTGTCTGTTTCTACAAAAGAAGGAAATAGAAGCAATATATTCTAAATACCTACTCACTATCAGGCATTATATTACTCACCTCTATCTGTAATTTCATTTACCTCCCCACAACTCTGTTCCCTGAGAACAATAATTGTTCCCATTTGACAAATGGAAGCTAAAGAAAACTTGACAAATAAAAAATTAAACCTCAGCAAAATAAACTAACTTATTCAACATTGGAAGCAAGAGGATCAGGATTCAAATCCAGATTTTCCAAGTCTACTATATCCATCTTCCTCTCAAATAAACATTGATAACTTCGATCACCAAAGAGAAAAACATCCAGGTGATTTTTTAAACTGTATATCTTATAAAATTTGAACAGACAAAAAGTAGTGAATTTAAACAAATGACTGTTTTATCACTAGAAACAAACTGGACTATTGCTGGCCTACTGCTGAACCCGGGCTGAGTGAATCACTAGTCAAATGTTCAAGGGAACAACCTCGCTTGAAACAAAGTTACTTGAAACAACACTTGAAAAGTGACAACAATCCATTCTAATTTAGCAACTGTCGTGACTTTAGGATGATACCTTAGGGAATGAATTATCTTTATTTACAGGGGGAGAAAATTCTCTTTATTATTTATTTTTTGACAGTGCAGTTTCAAGCAGTATTAAAATCAATTTCAACCGCGAGGAGGTATGACTTCTCTAAAAAAAAAGTGGTGGGGGGGGTGGTAAAGAATACACCGACTCCAAAATCAGAGGTCACTTAGCCAAAAACACTGGTCCTTTCGTGCAGAGAATCAGGTACATGGACAGTGGTCACCACCAGTAGTAACTCTTACGCATGGCAGCACTATAATACACCCCAGATATGCAAATATTTACGGTGGTCAGAGTCTCCTGAATGCTGCTTCTGCAATTTGTATTTCCTGATTTTGACATATTGCAAAAGGAAAATGCAAAATTACAATTTTTGCAAGGGTCTGCTACTCCGAAATAAAGTTACATAAGGTCCTTTGATGGGAGGCCTGGGGAATACAAAGACGTCTAAAGCACCATCCAGGTTCTTGCAATTAAAATGAGATGACAAACACGGAAACATGTGCCCTGCTGACGTCATGGAACGGAAAGGGGTGGCATCCTGCTGCGTCACGTCAACGTCATGAAGCGCACGAGGGAAGTTATACTGGAGAAGCAATTTCCCCAAGGGGCAACATTCGAGAAAAACAAGTTACCTCAGACCCGAAGAATGACCACTCTACTCTAGGGGACGACTTAAAAGGGACACTCTCCCGTCTCCCAAACTGTATGATTCCCCTAATCAGGAAATAAGGAACTAATACTAGGGCTTTATAGGGACTACGGGATGAGCCAGATATGGAGAAAGAGACGCCTCTGGCCTTGGGGGCTCGTTCTTGAGGGGATCAGCGTGATGGGGATAAGAAGGGCATCTTTGGAACAGGGGCCTTCCCCATAGGAAGAGGAGTCGAGTCCTCTGGCCATATTTAAACCACGGTTTTCCATGCCACCTGTGCGACTTGGGATCCAACCTCCCCGCACCAGCCCCAGTCCAGGTACCTGGAACTTAGTCCGATCGGTAACCGGCGACTACGTGGGGTACAGGTACCCGAGCGCGCCCCCGACCGACGCACCGACCTGCGCGCGCGCCGCGGGCCGGATGCGTGCGCACTCCCCGGACGTCCCGCCCCGCCCCCTCTGCGCCCTGGAGCAGGGCAGCGTGCGCGCCCCCGCGCCGCGCGGAGCCGGGCACTCAGAAAGGCGTCCCAGTAGTGCCTGACAGTTCTTCCTCAGCGCCTGCCCCGTGCGTGGCTAAGAGCGCGGAGTCTCGCCATATTAGAAGGGCTCTGTTACGTGAGGCTGTGCACGGAAACTATTCCGGGAAGAAGAGGGGTACTTGGTGGGCGGGGTAATTTCGGGCAGTCAGGTGGGCGACCCGCGTAGGCGTGTGAAAAGCCCGCGTCGTTAGGGAGGGCAGGAGCGGCGTCTCTGGTTACTGGATCGGGCAAAGGGCAGAGGTCAGCGTCCAGGTTGGACAGCAGCACCTTTGAGCGATGGCGGCGTCTGGGGAACCCCGGAAGCAGTGGCAGGAGGAGGTGGCGGCGGTGGTAGTGGTGGGCTCCTGCATGACCGACCTGGTCAGGTTAGTCCGGGGCCAGTACTCAGTCTGCGGCTCGGGGGAGGAGTAGAGCCGTGCGCTCTGCGCCCAGCGGAGCTCTTGGGCGCTGGGTCTCCAGGGATGGACAGTGCTAGCTTTGGGTATGAGCTGCAGGTTTTCGCAGCCCTCAGCCTGCCTTCCCGGCGTGGAAGAATTTGAGTCTGTAAAGGTAAATGTCAGGGGAGAGCACATAAGAGGCCAGGGTTTAGTGAAAGCTCTAACATTACTAAAAGCGCCCCCCACAAAAGACCTACCCTCCAAAGACTTGCGCCCCCAAAGACCTTTCTTGGCCCGGCTGCTGAGCCTTTCCCCAAATGAGCCAGGGGACTTTGCCCACGTCATTTTATCTCCGAGAATGTGCCTACCTCATAGGGATATTGTGAGGACTAGATGTAGTAAAGTGTTTCGTCAAGCCTAACATTATCCAAATTGAGTATTATTCGTCTGAGCTTATTGTATAAAATAATGAATCGAACAGAAGTCAAAAAGACTGTCACCTTTCACCATGTTGATTAAATACTGCAGTATTTTATGTTTACATCGTATTTTTCAGCAAGCCAACTATGAATCAAAATGAAAACAAACAATATGTACAACCACCAAAAATTATGACCAAATTATGATAGAAAATATGCCAAATAAAGATTGTTAGGTCAGTAAGACTGAGTAGACAGATCCTTCTGATTTAACTTTTTTAAAATTAAGTAATGTCTGTTCATTGTAAAAGTAGTAATAAATTCAGATATTCCAAGAAAATCCTACCACTCCAGTTACTGCAGTTCAGTCTTTTGATGAATATCTTTTCAGATGTCGTTCTATACTACAGTAACACCTCATCTGTCCTGAAATGTTGCTTTTCCAAAGGGCAATAGAGAATGTGGAGCTAAAGAAAAAGGCGTTGGGGCAATCAAAATAAGTCACCAAATTGCTGCATCAAACCACCTGTATTCTACTCAGAAAATAGTTCTAGGGTCTTCATGTAACCAATTTAATCTTACCTTAAGATATTTGTAGGCTGTGTTATCAAATTTCTACTGAGATTAGAAAAGTGACAGTAGAGAGGAGTAACTGCTAGAGGCAGTTATAGTGACTGATGAAAACTTGAGGGTGAGTAGGAGACTGTGTAACAAGAAGAAGCAACAAAAGAGTTTTAAATACAGATGACCTAATAAATAAATACCAATGACCTTTATTTTTCCACAAGTATTTGAACTATTTTGTCAGACAATGGGGCAAGATAAAAATACTTTCCTTTGGTGACAGAGCATAAAACTCAATCTAGTTGGAGACATTTGTTGAAGAGACTGGTACATCCTTTTCTAGAGCAGGAGTCAGTCAGCTTTCCTGTAAAGGGCCAAATAAATATTTGAGGTTTTGCAAGCCATATATGATCTAGGTCACATTTTTTAGCGACCTTTTTAAAATGTAAAAATTATTCTTATCTCCCAGCCTTACAAGAACAGCCTGCAGGCCATAGTTCACAGACACCTATGTAGAAAGAATAGCACTGTGCTTACAACACAATATAGCAATTGATTTTACTTGCGATGACTCTTTTCAAGAAAAGATTGTATAGTACTTATTAAATTTTATATAAAAATAGGGCATGTATTTCACTTTAAAAATAGTTTCATCAAAAATATATAAAGTTTAGTAACATAGAGGAATAAACCTTCAGTAAACCTTCATCTAAAATTATTCATTCCATGGAAGATCCACCTAGCTGAATGTTTACCATAATTTTATACGTGAAGTGGCAAAAGAGCTAGAAAACTAAAGTGGGCCGGGTGCAGTGGCTCATGCCTGTAATCCCAGCACTTTGGGAGGCCGAGGCAGGTGGATCACCTGAGGTCAGGAGTTTAAGACCAGCCTGGCCAACATGGTGAAACCCCATCTCTACTAAAAATGCAAAAATTAGCTGGACATGGTCACTGGCACCTGTGATCCCAGCCACTCAAGAGGCTAAGGTAGGAGAATACAGGAGGTAAAGGTTGCAGTGAGCCAAGATTGCACCATTGCACTCCAGCCTGGACATAAGAGTGAAACTCCGGTCTCAAAAGAAAAGAAGAAAACTAAAGTTTTCTCATACATCCTACCTGAATAAAAGTGTCAGGGTTAAAATTCAGAGCCAGTTCCTTGTTATCAAACTAAGAGCTTTCTGTGAAGCTTGACCATCAGATACTAAAAATAACTATAGTACTTTGTGGGGTGGGGTAGGGGTCGTGGTGTCAGAGGCCCATTTTAGCATCTATCAGGATTTTAAGATCTTATTTCAGAGCTAGAAAATTTTGGAAATTATCCTTGTTCTTCAGTTTTTAGATACATAAGAAATTCCTACATTGTGGATAACTTTTTAAACTTCTCTTCTTGCCATATATTTTCCTTCATAAAATATCCAAGTTTCTTCTCTTCACATGAATCATTAGTAAAAACTGTATTCCCGCATAGACTCTCTCTACTAATTCCTGCATCTTTTCTACAAACTTTTCATGGTCTCTCATTATTTATGACTCTGAAGATCTTTACAGAAATCTGAATATAGGATTTTCATTTAAAAACCTGCATCTGGGATAAACTTGGGTACAACTTTTCTAGTTACAGTGCGTATCATGATTATATCAGTTACTTACTGCCACTGTAACAAATTACAAAACAGAATAAGTAATGCAAATTTATTTTTTTACAGTTCTGGAGGTCAGAAGTCTGATATGGGTTTCACTGGGTCAAAATCAAGGTGTCAGCAGGGCTGGGCCCCATTCTGGAGGCCCTAGAGGAGGATCTGTTTTCTATCCTTTTCCAGCTTCCAGAGGCTCATTGTGGCCCCTTCCTCCATCTTCAAAGCCAGCAGTGGTTGGTAGGTCTTTCTCACATCACGTCACTCTGACCACCAGTCTTCCAGTCTTCTGGCTCCCTTTTCTACATTATAAGAACTCTTGTGATTATATTAGGCCCAACCAGATAATTCACGATTATCTCATTATTTTTTCTTTTTTCTTTTTTTTTGAGAAAGCGTCTCACTCTGTCGCCCAGGCTGGAATGCAGTGACGCGATCTTGGCTCACTGCAATCTCTGCCTCCCAGGTTCAAGCAATTCTCCTGCCTCAGCCTCCTGAGTAGCTGGGATTATAGGCGTGTACCACCACCCCCAGCTGATTTTTATATTTTTAGTAGCAATGGGGTTTCACCTTGTTGGCCAGGCAGGTTTTGATCTCTTGACTTCATGAGCCACCTGCCTCAGCCTCCCAAAGTGCTGGGATTATAGGCGTGAGCCACCACACCTGGCCAATAATCTCTTTATTTTATGGTAGCTTATTAACAAGCTTTATTTCCCCTTGCCGTGTAACAAGGGGAAATTATATTCACAAATTCTGGGGATTCATTGTGGACATCCTTTGCGGTAGGGGAGCAGAGAGTATGTTGTTTTTTCTACCGCAGTGGTTAAGCTTGAAGTAAAAAATCCTGTAATACAGAAATCTGAGTATAGGATTTTCATTTCAAACCCTGCATCTGTGATAAACTTGGGTGCAACTTTTCTAGTCAGTACTCAGAGAATCTTTGAAGCCTATCATTCTATCCTTACATTTTACAGGTGAGATAAGGAAAAGAGCTTCAGTGACTTACTCCAAATCACACAGCCAGTGAGTGGTATAGTAAAGGCTGCTACCCAGGACTCTCAGTTTTTACCTTTCTTTTTTTAATTTTTTAAATATATTCTATTTTTTATTTTTTTAAAAATAGGGACTTAGTATATTGCCCAGGCTGGTCTTGAACTCCTGGGCTCAAGCGATCCTCCTACTTGGCCTCCCAAAGTGCTAGGATTAGAGGGGTGAGCCACCGTGCCTGGACCCAACTCTTATCTTTCTATTATATCATTCTACCTCTAACTCTGGCTAGTGTTTATTGCCCTTTTCATCTACAGTACATATGATAGCTTATAGTCTGCACATTCATTGTTAACTTTATAAACTGATAAGGAATAACAACTAAGGATTTATAATTTTCAAGTCTAAAGATAGTATCTTTATTACTGTGCCTTATTCCTAAATTGAACTGTAACCAGCCTGGACACCCATGCCTATTCTTTAGTATCACTTCAGAAATAAAACTGCTTCAATAACTAAGCCCTTTTGGATGGCATCCAAGCCCAACTTACTTTATGTATTACATTACTGTGTGCCAGACACTGCTAATAATCTTTTTTTCATTTCTAATTTCAGTCAGCTATGAATAGTAAGTCTTACGTAGTAATAATTTAAAAAAAAATCGTTAGCTCATACAGCCTGGCAAACAATGGAAATAATTTAATAGTCACCTATATTTTTCTCATTATCCTCTTCCTTCTTGAACACTCATCTCTAAAGTTACACATTACAAAGATACAAGAAATCATGCCTGATCTTACGAGACTAAAGTCAAAGATGCTCCAGAGACAGATTTCCACAAAAAACTAACAATGTATGAACATTTTTAGACGTTAGGCTCATAGGCCTTTGTTAATCATGCTTTCATTAGTAATCCTTATTTTTTATGACATGTATCACCCATTTTTTTCAATTATTCATTCAACAAATATTTGTGGAATTTATACTATGTGCCAGGCACTTCCCAATGTGCAGAGGATACAGCAGTGAAAACACAGACAAAAATCCCTGCCTCATGAAGTTTACATTCTAGCAAGACAGTATCAGTAGATAAAAGTTAAATACATAGTATGTTAGATAAAGGTTAAGGAGAAAAATTAAGCACTAAAGGGGGAAGGAACAGGAAGTTTAGATTACTGGCTTCAGAAAATCTCACTCAAAAGGTCATTTAGAGTAAAGACCTAAAAGGGGAAAGAAAACAAGTCATAATCTGAGGAAGAGCATTCCTCGAAGGCCCTATTCAGTGAAGTTTATGGAGTCCAATATGGCTGAAGAAGCAAAAAAGAGTCGGGAGAGAAATCAATGATTAAAGGACATTGAGTCATACTCTGCATGAGATGAAAAGCTATTGGAGGATTTGAGCACAGGAATGACATAATCTTATTTTGATTGTAATAAGATCTCTCCAAGGGCTATGTGAGAATAAATAGCATGAAGGAAGGCAAGAACAGAAGCAGGAAGACAAATTCAGAGTCAATCCCAACGATCTAGGCAAGAAATGATGGTAGCTTGAAAGCAGTGCAAGTGGAGAGAAAGCATCTTTGATTATATTTTGGGGTAGAGTTGACAGGATATGCTGAAGAGTAAGAGATCTGTCAAGGATCTAATCCCAGCAAGATCAAGTGCTATGGCCTCTGCAACTGGAAGAGGCAGTTGACCTTTACTAAAATGTACAGTTGGGTGCCAGAGGGCTGTATCAGGAGCACAGAGTGGTCGTTGAAGGGTTAAAGTACCCACTAGACATCCAACTGAAGAGGTCGAGAAGACAGTTAGA